GGCTAATTCAGAGGCCATGTTAAAACATCAAACCAAAGTTGAACAATCTTTCCAGTAACGATGCGTCATGTGCTTCTACAGTAAGTCATCATTAAAGGGAGCACTGTAAATCATGACCAGCGTGTTAACTGGTTTGTGTCCATAGAAATGTTGAAGAATAAGGGCTCTCTTCAGAACACTTCTCAAATCCCACAGTCACCGTCTTCCCATCATGCATCCTTTCGCCAAACCCTTCTCAGGTAAGTAATGTGTCTCACCTGGCCATCCACATGGCTTTTTCCTGGCTGTTGGAGCCAGATGTGCATCCACACAGCTTCACGCATCCTAGGCCCGACAACTGTTTCAGGTGGAAACTGGCATCGACTAGTGCAGGGTTCCGCTCTCATTCTGTTTGACAATTCAGACGTTCCCCTCCCAGGTCTCCTTTAACTTCAGGCTTCTACTTTAAAAGCCTGTGGAGAGCATCATATAAAGCAAAACATGTGAGCTCCATCTAGTGCTGGAAGAGATCCTCTTCAGTCTCTGTTTCACCTGCACATAAAAAAAACAAAAAAACAAACAAAACCAATGCACATACACTAGAGGCATGCTTTTATCTTGCCGAGCCTACCTTTGGGTAGGGTGGAACTTTTACCATCACAAATATCCAGTGTTCAGCTGTCAGGAGAGCAATTTTACAAAAAAAAAAAAATCTTCCCAGTGAATCACATGTCCACCTGACTGTGTCCCAGGCCACTCGGTGTGTTTTGTAACCCTGAGCCAGCAGTAGCCTCATTGCTGGGTGAAGAACAACACAGGCCATCTGTTGTGTGTTTCCTTTGGTGCCCTGCCACTAAAGCTCCGTTGCCAGAACACCCAAGGGTACCCATACGCAGTGCGCTGCGCCAGGGGAACGGCTCACTGAAGCATCTTTGTAGCCGACTGGCTCAGTTGGGGGACGCCTGTTTTCTGCCAGAGCCCAGACACAATGGCTGCCGTGTCTGAAACGGGCCCTCGTCGAGGCAGGATCGTTACACAATCATGCCATTAACCTTAATTGGGGCAGCCTGGTGGAACACTGAAAAACTTTCAGCACTCTTAGACAGCAGTGCTATTCCTTTGAGTTACATAAAATCGAAACTGATCTCAGGCTGAGTTAATTGAATTGCAGAATGCTTATCTTCCTGCTGAGGACGAGTTACTCTCATGCACTGCTCAACGCTAAAGCCAGTGCATGGACAGTCACTTAGTCCCCACGTGTTATCCTAACACAGGCTTAAGGAGACATATGGCGCCATGGAGGACGGCACATATGTTTTCCTTTGATAGATGCCCATTTGACCTCGAGGCTGAAGAAACATTGCAAGGTACGATATCTCCAGATCCACTGATAGAGAGGATTGTCAGATTAAAAAAGGCTGCTGTATCTTCCATGACACAGCTTTGACACTCTTTGGTCTATCCATCTCCGCTAGCAAATAGAACGTATTAATAACATCTCCCATTCATCAGAAAACATCGCCCACAGTACTTCCGCCCTACATCTGCTATCTCATGCTGATATTAAGCTCCACAGAGATTGGATTGTGAAAGGAGATTACCGTGACAGCAGGACTTTCCAGGGCAGAGGGTTACTGCACGTGTTTCTGCGACCAGCAGCAACCGGCACAACTTATCGGTTATGAAATGAACATTTGGGCTTTTTGTCTTCTCGACTACCTTGGAAAAGGACATTCAAATGCCAAAAAGGCAAGACCTGCTTACTCCAAAGCCCTGCGGCACCTTTAAGTAAAAAGGCACTTCGCTGCTTTGGTACGACAGTAAGACACAAACACACATAATCTATTTAGCTCAAGCCCAGGATGTTTTAAGTATGTTTTCGAAGCCTTAAAAGTGTTTGTGAATGTCAGCGTCTTGACAGATTGTGGAGGAGCACGGCGGTGAATGAATAGTGTAAACAGGAGATGAATCATCCCTGTCACAGGAGAAACAAGCCAGTAGGGGAGGAAATGCTGCTCATGGCCTCCCCTAGCCTTTAAATCTTTATCTGTGGAACCAGTAATGATGTTTGTGGGCACAATTTCTTTGATTCTCTTGGCTCAGCCAGATCCGGTTAAAAATAGTAACGGCGCCATGGTTTCCCTGTGCCGTTTTGCTGTGGAGCTAATGCCGGGTCATGTCCTCCAGCAGAGTATTTCTTAATTACATGGTGTACACATAGTAAGAGACAAACAGATTCAAACGCACGCCTCCTGTGACGGTTCGGATGATGAAAGCACATAGCTTGAACACATGGGCCCGCAGATGAGCAGCTGTCAAGACGCCGAGTTTGAATTAGATTACCAAAGCATTGGATTCTGAGGGGGTACAAAAGTCTGACACCACCTGTGGAGATGCACTTCTGATCCATTCATGACTTAATGGTGGTGTTTCTTGTCGAGTTCTCCTGAAGCTTTCGGGGGCGTTTTAGAAGATTATCCTGCTGCTGTCATGGAGGTAAACCAGGATGTGTAGCACTTGTCTAAATAAAGAATGCTTCTTTACTAGGTATGGTGGATTTGTTGTTGTTGACATCTCTTTGGTCATTCTTCCTCCTGCCTCTCTCCCAACACACACCCTTCTGCGACCTCAGCAAATCCCAAACTCAGATTCATAGGTGATCTACGTTTTCCAAACTCACTCAGCCATTCTATTTTGTGTTTTTATCTCTCTCTCCACTGGTGTCTTTGAATCTATCAAAAACGTTTCAAATTTTTCAAGCTTACGACAGTTTATCTGCTTTTCCGGTCTGCTCTGTAATGAATTCAGTGGTTCTCAGAGATGTATAAAGTACTGGAGTAGAGGAGTGGAGTAGAAGTACAAGTACTATATAAAAAAATTGTCTTGAGTAAAAGTAGAAGTACTCCATTTTTTTGGTACTTAAGTTTTGCAAGTAGACGTATTTCAAAAATTGCTACTCAAGTATTAAAAGTACAAGTATAAGTAAAAGTACAAGTTCTGTGTATATTAAAAAAAAAGGCAGTCGAACGTGACCATACAGGTGTTTAGAAAAACAGAAAACTACATCTGCATTAGCAATCAACAGCACTTCATCTACTATTATTTATTATTCCAGAGTCAGAATCCTGAGCTGACCTTTATGCTAGCATGTAGCATACAGCTAGCCAGCTAGGTTAGCTTTATCTAACGTTAGCTGCTACGTCCTGAGTGAACAGGGAGAACTAAACTAGTGCTTATTTACTATCTTATATGTCATTGTATTTTTTAACTTACTTTGAAATGCTTCTTCAGATTAGATGTGGAATTTTTGAAGGCCATGATTTCAATCTTTCGGGAGGCTTTTTTTTTATGACGGCACAAGTCGCCCAATGAGGAGCCAGCTTCCCAAACCCTGACAGAGCTAACTACAGCTCTGGCCCTGACACTATGACCTGGGAATTACTCATTACGTTTACATACCAGTAACGAGTAAAGATTCAGCGCGTGAAAGTAAAAGTATTGAATTAATTAAAGATATGTAGTGGAGTAAAAGTAAAAGTACGGCACAAAAAATATACTCCAATAAAGTACAGATATGGCATTTTGGTACTTCGTACAGTACTTAAGTAGTTCTACTTCGTTACTGTACATCTCTGGTGGATGGCAAAAGCCTAAAACCTGCATCACTTTGGTGAAAGACATTGCTGATTGCTGAAGGCATTGTTGGGAGATTGCTAAATAAAAATCTTAACATCTGGAGGAAATGCTTGTATTATTCTGAGTGGAACTAATGAAATAGGCGAGCTGTGACAGAGGAAGGGGGACAGTTAGGATGGCGTTACTGACGTCCATATGTCATACTTAGCAACGTATGTTTTGGCTGTGAAACTAGTAACTTGTCAAAATAAAATTCCATGCTTGATTGGAGAAATTTCTGACTTAATTGAACATATTGAATAAGTAAAATTTTCTTTATTTCAGGCTATTTCTCCTACTGTTGTGGGAACACCACTAGAGGTCAGGCTAACATTCAAAACCCACGCTCTTGCAGGCACACCCGACCCTGAAAGATCCCCTCACCTGCACATTTTTTTCTTTTCTTTTGTCACGGCAACATGTCAGCACGCTCGTTGGTGCTCTGCTTATCATCTTCCCGGCAAAATCATCTGTGATGCTGCGAGTAAAAGAAGCCTCACGCCGGCAAAGGGAGGCAGAGGCTGTCACAACAGCACAGAGGCGCACAGCAGCCCAAGACTTGAAACTGTCACTGCATGCCAGAAGAGAATGACTTCTGTTTTCCCACAGAGAGTGAGAGTTTGGGATGTTTGCAGCTGCTGTCTGCTCTGTCAGATAAACCTAACCCTAATCAGGATTACCCTGCATGACCAGTGGTGGGAGGAGGAGGAGGAGGGGACTCGGACCTTCAAGTCAAGTTGAATCCGAAGTCATTTTCTATTCGAGCTGGATTGAAAAAACAGAAAAATGTTCCTGCACTGCTCAACTCTCATACATAAGGGCTGTTTGTTTCCTTCATGGCTGAACCAGAGCAGTCTAACACACACCCTGCAATGTCTTTAGAAGCTATGGTATCAAATCTGTTCATATATAGTGTAATGTCACTGAGCAGCTAATATGAAATTCATATTCAGTAAATGTCACAACATGTAACCCTGCTGGGTACTGAACAGGGAAACAAGGCAAAAATAACTTTAAAAAAGAGATAGTCGTTCACGATTTATTTACTGAATAAATTTGGACAAAACACCAGAATCTGTTACAATACAATCAGAACATCTGAGGCAGATATCCCACCATGCACCAACCCCCCTCCATGAAACAAAAGGAACTAAACATTAGCACCAAATCAGCACCAACTTAAAATTAAAAGCAGTCTACAAAAACAAGGAAAGCGATAGCCGTTTTTATTATTATCACTACTGAAAAGTTGCAAACTGAGGGTTGTTTTTTTTTTCTTTATCAAAAGGAAAAAAGGAGGGGGAAAAAGTAGGCCCAAGAAAAGAAAAAAAGAAAGAAAAAATAAGAAGCAAAAAAAGAAAGAAAAACACTACAAGCATCCTCCTAACCCCAACCCCACCCTCACTAGGCAGGCTATAGCATTCATGGAGCACATGCCAATGACTAGATTAAAAAACACAAATTCAAGTAACATTGAGATACGATAAAACATGTCCACTGGTACCCATTCCGAGCATGATCGTTTCACAGAACCTACACAGGCAGTAGGAAAACTAACATGAGGTCATGGAGTGAGCATGTCATAGCAAACACTTCTACTGAATTTCTCGTATCAAGTTTTTTTTTTTCCTTTCTTTTTTTTTTTCTCTAAAGAAGTGAGGGAGACTTGGTGGCTTGGCCTGTCGGGGCACAGGAATACTGGCACAGACGATATTGTGTTTCCTAAAACTTCAGACAGACGTTTTTGCTCCTGTCTTGTGTCGAGATATTGCCTACGTCATACATGAAAAAGGAATCTCTGGATAAAGAAAAACCCTGCAATGTAGTTTTAAATATAGAAATTTATATTTATTTATATATATTTATATAGCCGTTACAATTTAAATAAATGTTATGTTCTCGTTCCTACAACTGAAGGATACAGTTAAATAAAATAAGCTAATTTTTTTTTTTCAAAAAAAATGGTGGAATTGTCCTTTAACCTAAATTAGACTAACACACCAAGTGCTTGATGCCATGTTGGGAGGATTACTGAGAAAAATAGCTCAAGATTAAGGTTTAGGGAGTGACATTAATGCAGCAGTAACAGACTGGAATAGCTTGAAAATAAAATAAAACCATTAACTGGTGTACAAACATAATATGAATTAAAAGTATAGAGAAAAAAAAATGAAGGGACTGAGGAGAAGAAGGAGGCTTAATCATGACTGAAAACAAGGCCATTGAAGAGTTTAGTTACAATGCCAGAGTCTTCTGTAATGCAAAAACAGAGACAAACCAAAAAGGCAAAAGCGTCAAAGGGAAAGATACAGCCAACTAAAACGCCCAGTTTCTTAAATGGTCTCAGATCAGGTGTAACCGCCTTGTGTTGGTTTAGCAAACACGAGGCAGGATTACTTCCGGCTCTGTGGTTTTTCCTAGCAGCCACGGCTGGGACGAACACAAAGCCACATCTGGAAGAAAAGCTGTGGTGTTTCCGGGCGTGGGTTGGCTCCTCCTCGCTTTCCCGCACCCCCGTGTCCCTTCATGCTTTCCATAGTGTCAAAAAAGGTGAATGGATCAGTGAGTTGGTGAATGGTTTTTCTTTTAAATGGAGCACCACGTTAAAACAAACACATCCGGGGAAGAAAACAAAAAAACAATCAGAATAAAATAATGAAGAACGTTTGCTACATTGTTTGCACTTTGCATGTCTGGTGGCAACACCCCCCCCACCGGGGTGCCGGTCGCCAGATGAAATATAGATGCCATTTGTCATGCCAGGCTCAAGGTTTTCCATGAAATGGTGGATAAGGAAACAGGATGGAAACACCTTTATTACGAGTGACAAATTCACCTATTTGACTTCTAAACTACTGTTTCTGGCTCTGCCGTGCGACCGCGGCGAGCCGACTGTGGCGGCATCGTCCGTTTGTGTGCTTGGCCTGTGCTCAGCTGAAGAACTGCTCCAGCTCCTCTTCCATGTTCACCTCAGGCACAATCTGCTCCTGTTCCCTTTCCCCCCTGCTGTGTGCCGGCGTGCCCCCCAGCGCCCCGGAGGAGGCGAACCACGGGTGCTCCAGGATCTCGCGGGAGGTCAGGCGCTCCGCCGGCTCCCGGCGCAGAATGGAGCGGATCAAGCACTTGGCTTTGGGTGTCAGCGTTTCGGGGATGTTGAAATGGCCCCTGCGGATTTTGCTGAACAGGGAGCCTGGCTCCACGTCGTGGAAGGGGTAGCGCCCCACCAGGATGGTGTACAGCATGACACCCAGGCTCCAGACGTCAGCCGCCTTCCCTGAATAGCTGCCGTTGGCGTTGAGGATCTCCGGACTGACGTAGGCCGGGCAGCCATGCTTGTCCGACAGGGAATCATCGTGGCCGGCCAGGATGTAAGTGTCCTCGAGACTCTCCAGCTTTACAAGGCCTCTGCAGACCGCAACGGAAAGAAACAATGCCATGAATGACAGGAACTTCTTACCAGGATTTGCCAGATTAGCATTTAGACTTTAAGCTCTACTATGATACCCTGTATAGTAACATAAATAAAATACTGTTGTAGAAAAAGGAAAAAGTCCATATTCGTTCAAATTAAAAGGAACATGCCAGACCATAGAAAAAAAGAAAATGTGCAGTGCTGAAAATCACGCTTTCTCCCTCTTTTTTTTTCCAGCAACAGCATCCATTTTTGTCGGAAACCCCACAACGGGGGCTAAGACTCCCCTGGGAGCAGATCACAGTGAACATTTGTTGTGGGTGTGGAGTTACAACCGTTTTCAGATGAGGTTCTGAACCAAAAGCAGGAAACAAAGGTTGCCTGACAGAATCTGTTAGCATTCTTTAGAAGAGACTAAACCAAAAAACACATACTGAGGAAGAAATAAAAGAAAAAAGGTATTCAATCTGTGGAGATCTCCCCCTAGTGCTGCTAGTGCTGCGTCATTTGCATTTAATTACACATTAGCCCAGTTGAAAGCTAAATTCATCAATATGCCTTGGAGCTTTTTCCCCCCCTTGCATTTTCAAATTATGAGTTGACTGCCGCTCTGCCGTTACAGCTGCACGACAAAATTGGGTCAAGAACTTAGATTTGGCTGTAAAATACAGCTGCACAACAAAATTGGGTCAAGAACTTAGATTTGGCTGTAAAAAGCCAACTCAAGTACCATCTTTTGGGTGCTTGTCAATTCCCTGAGTGCATTTACTACTGTCTTTTGTTTCAGCCTCAGAGGGCTTCCATCCATGTCATCACCGTGCTCGCACCGCCTCAGGAAGGCAGGGGCGGTGTTAGGGGAGTCTTGACAGGCCATGTAGTAAATATAACCTGTGCCTTCCGTCTTAAAGTTCAGCCGGCATCAATCATTTAAAGCGGAGATGTCCGTCTCAGCCTGCAAGAATTCCAGGTCACTGGACCCACACTAAATATGCGAGACAGCTTCAATTCTTTTGCCTTTGAGGACCCCCCCAAAAAAAATCTCTGATGATGCTACAGCCAACTCAGAAGAAACAAGTTTATGATGTGGAAGAAGCTGAAAGTACTTAATATTTATACATAATATCTAGAAATTATGGGAAATATTTGGCAGCAAAAGCTGCTCCAAGCAGATGCTGGGGTTCTGTCCGCCACCAGGGGTCAGCAAAGCTGCACGAGTGCAGTTCCACTGCTGTCTCCTGCTCATGCACACAGTTGTGCAGAAAACTGGGCTCATCCTGCCCGTGCTTTTCATTTAACCGGTGGTCCTGGTCCAGAAAATGCCTAATGACTCACCCAACATGCATTTTCACTTATATCGATATAATTGAATAAGTGAACATCACGCAGCCACTTAAGAAACAAGTACACAAAAAGAACTGGACCAGAGACCAAGTTTGGGTTTGTTTGAGAGGACAGTTGCTTTCAAATTGTCGACACATCTTACCCATAAAAATGAAAAAAGAGAGAGAAAGAAACACTCACCTGTCCTCATTTTTGAAGACAAACTTCCTCAGTTTGAGGTCACGGAGGACCAGCCCATTGTCATGGCAGTGCGCCACGGCCGAGGCTATCTGAAAGAAGAGCCGGGCGGCCTCGTCCTCCCGCAGCTTCTTGCAGGTGCGGACGAAAGAGTGCATGTCGCCATAGCTCCGGTTGAAGAACACGTATGCTCGCGTCTCCCCGAGCAAGATCTCCAGGATTTGGTTAATGTGCCGATGCTGGCCCAGGGCAAAGTAGGGCGCCAGTGACTCCTGGTACCGGCCGATGTCAAAGACCTGCAAACGAAAGAGAGAAAAGCATTTACATGGAGATCTATTTTAAAAAACTCCTCGAGTCCTGCATGACAAAAACTATCTTTAGTGGCTGAAGGTCGGGCAGACGGCACTTTTCGGCTGTGGGTTCTAATTGTACGCGAACATAACGCCGCCGACATGTCATGCGTTCTTGATATTCTTGCAAAACCAGATTTGAATTCACTTTCGTTTTGTAGCATAGGAGGTCTCACAGAGACGAGCAAAAAGAATCACAATAGCGAGTGGCATTGTGCTGCAACCAAGGGTTGCAGTGTCTCTTTTTGTTTCCATAGCGACCCCCCCTACCCTCCTCCTCCACTGACTTTCACTGCAGCCAGTTCAGGTGAGAGGGCTCCTCTGCTTTGCAATCAATACAGACGCACCTCACGGGTCTAGAGATCCCGCTCTGTGACCCGAGCCGCCAACCTGACAGGGGCGATCGATCCAGGAAGGAGGGATTGATTGCCACTGTATTGAGGTCAGCAGGAAGCAGCCGAGGTCAAACAGCAGTTAGCTCATCACGCAGTGCCAAAGGCCATTAATTTGTCACGGCGATGACAAAACATTATCTCTAGTCAAAAGGTGCAGGTTACTGGAAATGTCATGCCTCATGAGTCCAAGGGTGCGTGAAACTTTTGTCTCAATTCACCGAGCCACATAAGCCAGCTTAAGGCCGGAATGCTCCTGTGGGACAAGCCCACAGCCCCACTAATCGGTATTATAGAAAAGTCAATATGGGCTATAAATGTGGCCAGCAAAGGCCATTAGGCTTGCCTGGTGCTTAGAAGGGAGACCTGCAAGTGTCTCCCCTCAATAAGTGGAAAAAAATAAACACCACTACAACAATCCAAACATTTGGTACAAAACACGCTGCATAGGTATTTCCACGCACAAGAGATAAATCCATTGCTTTTAGAGTACCATTGCTGCGTTGCATTATGAAAGAGGGAAGCCACGGAGAGCGAGAATAGCACAGAGGAGTGTGTGTGTGGTTACTCACTCCTTTGTCAACGTTACATCATGCAATCCAAACCACGCAGCTCACCCCATTCACTTTTTCCATTAGGCTGCTCCGCCAGCTCTCCCTTTACAAGGCCAGCAATTATTAAAAAGTTTCACAGACAGACCTGCTGCAGCCCCGAGACACCCCCTGCATTTCTCCATCTGCAAACTACATGTTGGGCAGATGTGGAGGATAATTATTTCTAAAAAGGGGGTTTAAGGGACATCTCGTCTCGTGTGACGTTGCAAACAAAAGGTTCAAAAGAAAAGCACCGCATGCGAACAAAACCCCTCTCCACCCCAGTTTGAAGCAGCTAGAAAAGAAGGGGGGTAGGTTATCTATTTCTGGATCGTGGGTATTTTGTGCCACATCGCCGACTGCTCACCTTACACACGAGCTCGTCCCCGCTGTGCAGGTGGGCGGCCCTGAAAACGTGGTCTCCCTCCAGCGGCTCCAACAAAAGGTAGTCCCCGATGCGGGAGATACAGTGCGAGGAGTCCGGGGTCTCCGGCGGGCTGGGGGAGCCGAGGTTGGGGCTGAAGCTCTGGTGCGACTCTGTAGTCCTTATGCAAGACAATTCTTCGAAATCGTGCGATTTGTGTCGCGATCTCCCATAACGTGAAATGTTAATTGGATTTGACCTCTGTATGTTCATGAGGAAGAAGTGCGAAACCCCCTCAGAGCCGGGGACCTTTCTCCTTGTTCACTGCTCCGGCGAAGGGCACCACTTTGTTGTTGACTCAGTGCAATGAGGCGATTCGTCCAGTGACTTCAGCAAGGCTTGAATGGAGTAGACTTTTTTTTTTTTTAGAAAAGGAAAAAAAGAAAAGAAAACCCAGACGATCTGATTTCACTGCACCCTGCCGTTTAAGGATGTGGCCGCGTATCAACAGGCAAAAGCGGCTCAATAGATTTTACTCAACTCCACAAATAGACACGCTCTTCCTTTCCCGTTCATTTGCGCCCCTTTGTTTTACATTCAAAAAAGATGAGGCCAGTAGGAAATAAAGAGCTAGTGGCCCCAGTCGAGAGAGGACCTTTAAAAAAAAACGTACTGCAATCGGGTTTCAAGCGAGCAGGCGAGACAAAGCTGCAACAAAGGCTACCAAAAGTTAGCTTTTAAAATGAATGAAGGGTGCCAAGTCCACCGGCTGCTCGTCCGCTAGCTTATCTTTGCCGGTTAATGGTGAGCCACATTTCGTAATACGGAAACAATAAATACCTGGGGTACACGTTTGCAGGCACTGGGGGGAAATATTAACAACTAGCTTGAGTCTTCCGAGCTTATTGCGGTTACGGAATTGTGCAGAAATGTAGCTGATAAAGGATGGCTAGCAGGTGTAGGGCTAACTATTTAGCTTGTTTGGCTAACGAGTACCAGGTCAGTGCACGGCCTTGTTCCCTAGGACCACATCCATGCAGGGTGATTGTCATCTACCACAGAAGGAGAAAACCCCATCCGGAAAGGCTTCCGCGGCTCTTTGTGTGCAGGAGGCGACGTTTCCTCGCTCTCGTTCTCTCGCTCGCTGGAGAAAAAAAAAAGTGCCCGTTTCTGCCTTAAGTGTGTCTTCTGCTGCAAGTTGAAGGGGAGGAAGAAAGGGACGGCCGGCCGACTTTCCCAGGCCAATCCCTTGATTCAGCAGGACATCTTCTCTCCCGTGGAACCGCTGTGCTTCTTACGTGGCCGGGAATCTAGTCCATTCAGAGCGGAGGGGAGGCCAGCCGAGCTGCACGCACTGCGCCTGTTCGGAGGGAGAGAGCTGCCTTCCTGCCCGGCGGAGGAGGGTGTTCTGCGCGCGCGCGTTCAGGCCACGCACGCACACATACACGCGAGAGACGGACCCGCCTCCTTACGTCACACCCACGTCGAAACCCCATTGGCTCGCAGCCTGCAGTGAAGTCATGTGAGAGCCCCCCGACTGTGGTCACGCCCCCAGAAATCTAAATGCAGCACATGCTGTTAAATTGGATGGGAGGCGATGGGGAGAAGGGCTATAGCTACTGTACATGCTGTGTTACAAATGTGTTTCCTCCTAAAATGTCACTCAAGGGAGAAAAGGGTGTGTGTATGTGTGTGAGTGTGTGTGTGTGTGGGGGGGGGGGGTTCCCTCTCTCACAACAGCACATACCTTGGTGATATCTGAGACACGAAAACGGTGACTTCAAGTTGAAAATCATTTTCATCTTCATCCATACTTAACAATCTTCTTTTTTTAATGTAATGCAACATAAAATAGAAAACTCTCCTGCTGTGACATTCAACAATTGCACGTCTAGAAAAGCAAGGGGGGAATGCAACCGACTCAGTACAGATTGCACAGCTCTATCGTAAAATACATTGCTTAAACACAATGTCGGAATCGATCAAAAGAAAGGGCAAAAAACTGAAAATACAGATGTATTGGCTTGAAAGTGATGCCATTGATGAACCCAATTTTTACATTTGTGCCACTAAACGTTTTGGAATTCTTTGGGCCTTAGGTGCACAAGTGATTCATTCAAGTTCAAAAGAGCAGACTTGGATTTTTTGGACGCCACTCTTAAAGAAAGAATAGCTGAAATGGAATATTTCAGAAAGAAAATTGCAAAAGATACGGAAGACATTTACATTGTGAGAATTAACATGTAAAAAAAAGAAAAAGGGAATACCTGTCAGGACCTTTAATCACTGGTAAAAACTTTTTTCCCTCCGCCTATAGAATACTAAGAGCACAGACAGGACTGAGCGCATATGAGACATCTTGTGTTACAAATTCCTTTCTTTCACAGTCGTGTCTCTGTGATATGTGCTGAGGATAAAGGAGGTTCATTATTCCCCCCTTGTACATCCTAGATTACCAGAAGGTATGACAGAAGGATTGTGCAACTCTGTGTAGGAATCCAGGGCGGCTGGAGGAATGCTTGCAGCTGGACCCAAGACACTGACAGAAGTGTTTGAGTTAACCTTTACTCACCCGCTCTCAGGAAGGAGCCGTGCACAAACGCATACAAAAGCTCGCACTTTTCTAATTCTTTATTTCTCTGTCTCTGCCTAAATAAGCCCCCGCAACATGGAAATGCATTTTTCACATAAATGCCTTTATGTAAAAAAACAGTGGCTCACAGTTGCAGACTGTGGCTGCACCCACAAGCTCCTCAAGCATTTGCATGTGCATTTTCTGTGACATCTATGTCAGCCACCCACTTTGTTCTTTGTTACAAGGCTGGAACACTCCTCACTTTACAATAGCTCCACTTTCGTCACACCCATTCTGTTGAGAACAATATGAACATGGTCCTGATCTGTGGAAGTGCTGCAGGATACCAAAGGACAAGCTGGATAGAATGGAGTTAACCATTGTGCATTCCTGTTTGCCCATAGCTATGACCCCAAACGGGGATTCTGTTAAGCCCGTAACCACAGCTGTGCATGAATCAAAAATAATAATCCCCAAAGATTCCTCCTGCCCCCGTTCTTTGATGCTCTGTGTGACTCATTTGCAGTAGAGAGCAGCGCTCGAGAAAATCCATCGAGGCTCATCAGCTCTTCAGACACACTAAAATGTCAACACCAGCAGTGCCTTCCAGTGATAGACTCTGTAAACCACTGAAACAGGAAGTGTCTTGGATAACTGCAGAGGTCAATAAGGATGGTTTAGCAGTGTTCCTTCCAAACTTCTTAATAGGCCATGCTGCCTGTAGAAAATGGTCTGAGGTCAGCACTCCCTGTTAGGTCAAGTTTACTGTAGTTTTTTTCCTGAATGATTACCATTCAAAATGAGAAGAATACATAATAAAGCCAACTCTAACCAGAAAGATTTCATTTGGATTTCCTGTAGCAACACAGCTTACTAACTCACATGGACAGCTGCAGTGAGAACCAAAGACAACGGGGATGAAAGTGTTGTCCCAAAAATGAGGAACTCATCCATCAGCGTAATGAAGAAGAAAAAACACAAACAGCAGCAGATGTTTTAGTCATCATAAAAGAAGAGAAATCACAAAGATATATTTTTATCAGTTGTTTTTGGTGTTAGTCATTTATATGCCCCATACTGGATGTGTTGAAAGCAGGCAACTGCTGCGGCACTCCTCACGTCGCTACCTAAGGGCACTGGTCTGAGGATTTTTGGATCGGAGTCAAGAGCAGGAAATGAGAAATTTAAGTGTACAGAAGATGACAAATTGTTCCTCAGATTTTCGACAAGGGCTACAAATGTGTCACCTTGACACAGCAACTTTGGACAATAGTCCAAAAAAGTCAAACAAAAAAAGCAGCAGGCTTGGAACTGAAGATTGTTCTCGGCATTGAGTTTCGAACAATGGATTAGACAAAAGAGTATAATGCTTAATGGAAGTGTACCAAGCGGCGATTGTGGAAATTCACAGTACTGTACTGAGTACTGAGGCAAAGCATGGACATGTTCCATATTTAATGGCTCTTTGCAATAACACAGCTTTGACATTTCACCTTCCTCCGTCCACATTTTCTCTTGTTAGGGGAGAACAGGAAATGCACAAGAGCTTCCAAATGAACTCAAAAACAAAAATGTCCTCTCAGCACCGAGCAAACCTTGAGCTGATCAAATAAACGCTGCCACTTCCACTGACCTTAATTCAACCTGCTGACCTCTGGCCAGTGCTCTATTTCCTGCCACGTCAGACGAATGAAAATTAAGATGTCATGTAGGAATAAATTCAGCACATAGTGCCTGATGAATCGTTTCTGCTGAGGCATTTTTCCGCTGTCTTCTCTGCGCTAGCAGGAAGTCTAAGTGGTTTTGAGTGGCAGGTCACGCAGACAAAATCTCCTCTATTTGGAGAGGAAGGATCTTGGCTGGAGGGGAAAAGGGGATTGGCGTCACTGGCTTGGATCTCTCCTTCATGAAGTCAGACAGCTGAGTGAGGACTTGTGGCAGCCCTGTCACTGGACAGGGTGACTCACTCACTCAGAAGTGGAGAGGTTAATAATAGTCATACATTAGAGCTTCCAAAGTGAACTCACACAGCTTTTTGCAGCTTGAACCATCAAAATGGCTCTCTGCAAAGGTAAAAATTACATTTCAACACTTTTGAATTTTGACACATTTTCACTTTTACTGAGCGGGTGTACAACCAACAAAATCCAGCTATCGTGCCCCTACAAATGCATAAATGAAACTAAGCCTATCTTCTTCCCTCACATTATATTTTTATATTTTCAGATTTATTCATTTCCCCAGATGATAGCAGAGACAGTTGGACAAGGTGCTAGCTTGTCGTTATATTCGGTGTAATTGAACTCTGTAAAATTAACTTCCTTGAAAATGCTGGGGCTTTTAAGATTATGGCATAAGATGGCACAAGAAGTGCAGGAAACAACAAAGAAAGAATGAGAACAAGTAGAAAACTTAGATGGTGGCTGCACTGGAGACACTGTTTTGTTTGTGACACAAAGTATAACTATCCCCATGTAGCTTGAACCATTCCTACTTTTTGTCTTTTCCCTGGGAGAACAAAGGTCAAGGGCCAACAACAGCGCTTCCACACGAGCAAGAACACTTGACATATTGTTCTACATATCTCTGGCCTCAAGTGAGTAGATATGTAGATGTGTGTGTGTGTTTGTGCATCAGAAGACAAACTGTGAGTGAAGATGCTTTAACTCAGCAAGGCCTGACCAAAGAATTATTCCCATTTATTCTGTCACCAAAAGACAGAAACTGGACCATGTCCCCGAGCCCGGGGACAGAATAAGAATAAGTACCTGATACTTTAGTGGCTATCAATGAACCTCTGAAGCAAAGAGCGTGGTTTTTGTATTCAGTTGGAGTCTGTGATCTTGAACGAGGTTGCTTAGCACATTCTGAAGATGTGCAGCTTA